GGTGAAGCCAGAAATAGAAGATAGATACTGCTGGCGACTGCTTTTGCTTACTTTACAAAACTAATCAAAGTGAGTTGCCAGCATCAGCCAGGAGGAAAATAAATAAATACAACTTTAAGGAAGTCATAAACTGAAGCCACTCACCTCCCTCCTGTCTTCTAACTCTTTTATGGTCAGGTCTGCACTACAAGGTATTCAAAAATGTGCATTAAGTGAGGGAAAACAGCGACCTCCTCCCTCCGCCTGACTGTGAGAGCAGCAGCAGCAGCAGCAGCAGCATTCCATTCCTGAGGAAAGTATGTGGTGTAGTAGTCCAGCAGTCACAGGATTTCTCTTATTTTAACTGCACTGCTGCCAGTAACGTCACAGGTTATTCTGGGTAATTAAGTACCGAGTGTAAATATGTTAAGTTGGCAGCCTTTTAAGGCCTGCACTTGTATGGTTTTTCCTGTTCGGTTATCTGACATTAGAAGACCCCGGGGCAGCCTCAGACTACAGAGCCTGTTAAAAAAAACTAAAATTCAAACACAGTGAATGAGGAGATTTTCACCTTTTCTCCTGCAACATGGTTTAAAGCGATGTTTTAAAGGAGACATGACCATCTGGGACCTCTGTAGCTGCACTGATGAAATGAAGATGTAGAATCTGGTTGGTTTTTGCGCATACTTTCTTCAGCTGGTGCCTGTTTATTCATTTGTGTCGAGTGATTTGTGCTGATTAAACAAACAAGGATGAAAATATATAAAGCTGTCAAATAGAGCCTTTAAAAAAAACAAAAAAACACTACAAACTTGACAGAAATTACCTCATAATGAGCCGTAATTGCACATTTACCAGACATGTTGACAAACCCTGAAGCATGAACATGTTGTCACTGAAGGACTGGTGGTTTCCCTGTTTCAGTTTATTTTTTTTTTAAACTTCATTTACCATGTTAGGCCAAAAAAAAAAAAAAAAAGCAGCTTCCTTACTGAATCATTTTTGTTCCATGATGCCCTCTGTGCTATGTTTAGCAACTGAAGAGACAAAAGAGGAAGCACAGAGACACACAAATAAACACACACACGGTGTCAGATGCATGACGTGAGCTTGACCTTATGACTGGTGCCTGATAAGTGATTGAATAATAAATGCTGAGTTGGGTTTTACCAGAGGCAACGAGAAACAAACACATTGCAAGACTTCTTAAAAAGTCATCTGTCTATCGTGCGGAGGGCTTGTTTTTTTTATTTTTATTTTTTTTTACTGTTTTTCCAAAGAACTGACGTTAGACACTGAATACTGACTGTTGTGAGTCACAGGAGGAATACTCCCTTGTTTCATAAACTTGCAGCCAAACTGACTAACTCCTCAGACTTCACTTGTTCTACCTTTGGCTTCGTGCCAGAGAAGCAGATTAGATTTATGGTTACTGTCATCGTTTATGGGTAATGACTCAGCAGATCAACCTCTTCGCCTGAATCGCATGTGGAATCAATTTTTAGTTTACTATACATGGCTGGGCCGACTCTTTCATCTTCACTGGAGCATGTTTTGAGTAAAAAGCAAATGTACCAGATGAGTAACCGGCTTTGTGTCCTGGTTAGCTTGTATCACCATCACGTCGACCGCAAGCAGCAGCACGCCGTTTCCTTCATGCAGCTCTTCTGTAATGAGTTAGGTATGGTTTGGTGACCGAGTGCACGTCGGCTTCGTATTTTCTAGATGAAATCCAACAGTTTTGTCAGGAAGGACACGCTTAACATGTGATGAGGCATCAAGCAGGAAGTTTGAGAGGATGTCTGGTTGGTTTTCCTACTATTAGATTACAGATGAGTTGTGGTGTAATTACATTATTTGTGATGTGAGATTACACATTGGATGAAAATATACTGGATTGGGAAAGTTTTAAAATGAGATCGCATTACACTGAATTAGAGTAGAATAATGTACATACATTACATAATAGATGGTGAGATTAAATGAGTAGTAGATTGGGATTACAAGAATTTAGAGAGGATGTTATGTGAGATGTGACTGGAGAAGGACGCAGATTTTATGGACGTGGAAGAGAGATGTGATTGATCAGGAGGAGATAAGATTGGATTGCATTAGAGCAAGATAAGAATACATAATACGAGACATAAAAGGTGATTAGGTGAGATACCAGAGAGGAAATAAAACAATATGATGTAAGATGACAGGTGAGATGAGAGAGACTGGATTATGTTAGACATGAAATTAGATAACATTAAACTTGAGATGTAATCGGATAAGATAGAATAAGATTGTATTTCCTCAGATTTCAAATTTTTATGAATTCAGTTCTAGATGAGATGTGTTGTGGGATGAGATGGGAATCCTTAGATTGAGATTAGATGAGAATGATGTTGCCTTTCACAAAAGAAGAGATGAAATTACATAAAATTTGATTGGATTAAATTTTGTATTAGATGATATAATAACAGTACATTAGATTAGAATAGAGAGGTGATGGGTCTAGATGAGAATGAGATTAGATGAGGTGAGAGCAAATAAACCTGGATTACATAGGGTTTGATAGGGCGTTCAGTGAGAGTAAATGAATCGAGTTTAGATGAGGTTAGATGAGGTGAAATCAGTTGAAATTAGATTACAGTAAACTTGATTTTCCATAAAATGAGACGTGATGAGAGTTAAAGAGATGAGACAGACTTGCGTTACATATGAAAAGAGATGTGGTGGGTTTAGAGAAAGATGCAAAATTTTACAAATGAAGACGCCATACTGGTTGAGGTGGGATGACAGCAGATGAAACGAAATGAGGATAAGTAACATGAATTAGAATGAGATGTTTACATGAGAAAGAGATTGCATTGCATCCAAGTAGACATCAGATGAAATGAGACGAGATTACATTCAAGTAAAAAAAAAAAGCAATGAGATTATCAAATTAGACATTAGATGAGATGACGTGATTAAACGAGAAGGTAGATATTTGACAAGATAAAGTCAGAAAACATCGTCTGGAAACAATGAAATGGAAACAGGGCTGTAGTACATGTGGTGTCTGTTTCCTGCAGACGCTGCCAGACCAAAGAAAAAGACACAACTGGTGAGATAAAGTCTCTGCAGGGCCACCTCTGATATTCAGCATCAGTCGGACACCCAGCTGCTCAGTCAATGCCATACCATCCAATTACTGTCCATCTGGCAGCAGCATACATAGATGACCTCAAATACACCCGTTGTGTCCAGCAAAACAAAAACAGCGGACCATGTGCAGCAGACTTCTTGTTAGATCAGCGTGCTGTGGGGTCTGGGTTCTTGCAGGCAGTTTTGGATTACAGGAAGTAACATTGAGTCACTAATCTCGGTTCTTTCTGACTCAGACTGTTGAACTCAGAAATCTGATCTGGTACAAAGAGGCCCCCTGTTGTAAGGGGATCATTTCTTTCCCCTTCCAAATGCTCCAAATTATTAGTGAGAAAAAGGTTGATATTAACCATACAGAATATTTTTAAACTGGAATAACAGTATTACCAATGAGCCAAACAACACAGGCTGCTTAAAAAATACTGAATTCCAAATCACGTTTTTTCCTCCTGCTAGGTGTTTCCACGTTGTTCAGGAATAGCTTACCGAAAAATACCCGACGCATTAGACAGCTGCCCCTGGCACCGTTTGAGCCGTACGTAATCTCGAAAGTTAAAGAATTGTTTTTGCAGATTTGTAGACTTCCCATATGACACAAGATTTAATTTGGAGCGTTTACTGAACATTCCACTGACTTCACCAAAATGTGTTTCATATGAAAACACTTTACGTAACCAGCTGGCAGCCCGGAGCGGCATGGAAACGAACATGGTGAAGTTACAGTAGTAGTGGTGGTGACAGCAGGAGCTGGAGAAGGCCGAGGTGGACTCTTTAAAGTCTCATAGCCACTAATAGACTTCGGCGAGATTCTCTTATGGTTTCCCCGTATACTGAAAACTATTTGACATCTAAAGGAAAAGTTTCGCCTTTTGAGGACTGAAATACAGTCAAATCCATCGTCAAGGAGCACCTCTGTAAAACACAGAAGGAGACAGTAACCTCTTTCTATTCCCGATAGTCTTGTCACAGCTGAGCAATGCTCAAGGAATGAGCAAATCACCGCCGCTGACCATGGGTGGGACTAAATATGGACTATTATTAAGAGCGGTAACGTTTTGATGTTGTGATTCTGTTTTCCTCAGGACATGGACAGTTGCAAATAATAATAATAATAAAAAGTCATAGAAAAGGAAATGTACCAACTGTCATTTCGTAGAAAAGAATCAGGTTTCTATCTTTCTTCATGAGGAAAGCTGCATCTTGTTCATCTCAGCTGCAGTAAAAGCTGTTATTGTGTTATCATGGCATATTCTTCTGTTTAAAAGTAGATTTCAGTCGTTTTTTTATTTAATTTGCACACAGTTCTGTTGGTAAGATATGAGGATGTAGTCAGTAAGAAATGGCATCAGTTCAGTAGAATAGAGGCTGCTGCCACCTTGTGTTACATCACTGGAATTTAAAGCCAGCATGACATTCAGCTACCTCTGGCTGTTCCCCCTGACTTCTAGCTTCACATAAGGACAGTTCCAAACCCATTCTTTTCCTCAGAAGCGATTCTCTTGGGGTGATTATCAGAATCATATGACTCGATAGAGGGGGTATGCACCTCTTAGTTCTGGACAAAGTTCCCAGAAGTGCTGGTTCAAATGTGCAAAAAATGCTTATCTTCTTGGCTTTGGAATTGTTGCTTTAGTAAATGAAGCTCAAATGTTCTTGCCAAACTCATGTTCAAAATACAAGACAAACAGATGTGTTATGAATGTAGTGCATCTTATGGATCATAATGT